CTTGGGCAAATAGTATGACCTGAACTTGGCTTTAAGGATTCTATCAAATAGTGGAGAAACAAGAATCAAATCTTCCAGCAAAGACAGAATACTAATTAGCTCCCTAAGTCTTATCTCATGTTGTAAGAAAAAGGAATCATGCAAATGTTGTATAATTGTTTGTCTTCATTATGTGAGCTTGTTCCTCACTTTATTATGCACAGAATTTGCAAGCTGCTTTCTCTTTTCCTCCCATTTCAAACAGCTGATTTGAAATTTCAGCAAAGGTACATGTTAATTAGTGGGTTTCTATATTGCAAATATTAATTTAGAAACTGGTGCAAGGTATAAACATCAATCTACAACACCCATTATAGAATGAGAAACTGCAAATCTTTTCAAGGCCCAGAGATATGGGGAGGTTGGATTCTATTCTGAGATTCTGTAAAAGCACATTTGTTAGTAGAGGGTAACTACTGCTCTTGGGAATGGCTGCTGAGAATGAACAAAATTGGATGCTCAGTATGGTTTATACAGAAGAGGTGTGAGAATTAAAATGAAAGAGGAAACACCAGTAGTGAACAGCAGAATGATATAGGCAGTGCTTGGATGAGTTTCCAGAGTTTTTCCTACAAAGCCCAACTGTTTGAGTCTTCTCTTGAACAACAATGAGCACAAACAGGGGGCATTCTTCATTGCCACACCTTGTGGTTAATGCTGAGGAAAAAGATATCCTGGAAGCAGGGTGTACATACAGGGCCTGCTCCTTCAACACTATGGAACTGCCTCATCCCTCCCCTGCCCCTCTGGGAATCCTGAGTGAGGAGGAGAGAGACAGAGAAGAAGAGTCCCAGCACCCTCTATATATTAGCTGGGAGACGCCAGACAACTCACCTACCTGTTCTAAGTATCTGCTTCTTCACCTGTGTAATGAGGATAATAATTCCTACTTTCTAGCAGCCATCCAGGGTAGGGGACTAGAGACAAGGAAGTTAAGTTTTTAGGAGAAACATAAGCAAGGGACACTATTATTGTACTTTCCTTGACCTAAAGTGAGGGAGCTGCAGTATTCAAAATTCTCAGCAGAAAAATCAGTCTCTAGTTCCTGAGAACTGCTCAACCCTTTAAATTCCCCACAGAAGATTTCTGATAAAACTCCAGCAGAGAAAAATATGGTTGGTATTTTGTATTTCATCAAAACCCCAAACACAAATTTGTTTATTCTTGGTCTTATTCTTGGTTCTCAGTCCAGTTCTTTGCCCAAAGAACGTTCTCAATGTTGGAGAGAGTTAATGTGGTTTCAGGGGGCTCTGACACTGTTCTGGGGATGCTATTGAGATTAGGGTAACACAAGGATCATGCTTTGAGCCATCCCCTTCTTGGTACCCTCAACCCTGTGTTAACTCATCTCTCCACTCTTGCTCTGCACAGGGGTCAGGTTGTGTGTGCAGAAAGGCACCAGGTTCCATCATCAGAAATTGCCCCAGTAATTAGACACAGAAATAGGAGCAGGAGAGACATGACAGCCCTTAGAGAAACCAAAATCATCCACCTTCAGATGGTTTGGTGAAAAGTCTTCCCTTTCTCTTCTTCTCCACAGAAAAGCCCTATGAAAACTTTGTGGACTCAGGGAGATGACTTTTAATAAAGTACTCAGTGCTAAAATAAATACATTTGTGCCTTTTCTAAATCAAGACCAGTGGAGTGATGTACTGTTTATAAGTGCTTGAGAAATGTAAATATTAATAAACTAAGGGGGTGGCTGAAGAGCTATAGAAGAAACTATCTCGGAGTACCTGGTGGAACAGGATGAACATGAAATTATCAATAAAATTAAGTCTAGAAGAAGCCCACTAGTCTGGGAGCTGCCGTCCTGGGAAGACAAAGGCAACTGTTCCACTTCTTCCCTCCAGCTGGAGAAAGGGAGGATCCTCCACATATTGATTCAGGGAGACAGACAAGGTGAGTAAAAGAGGAATTTTAAAATATATGATGAATGATTAGTTTTCATTACTTTGACATTAGAGCTGAGACTAAAAATGACTTGGTCATAAGGTTGCCCAGCATCAATTAAGCTGTGAATTAAAAAAATATATATTACCCAGATTGTTGTGAATGGTCATCCATGTCAAATTTGGAGAATCTGACATGTTCATTGCAGATTTATGGGACAACAGAAGCTCCTACCAGGAAGACTTTGGATTTCTGGAAAAGACTTTGGATTTCTTGCATTTTATTTCCACCTAGCAATGCATTACCAAATGGTATTAGATCACCAAGCATTTTAATCATTGTTTTTAGTCCCTCAAGATGAAAATTCCCCTTTGAATGTATATACTTTCAGCTAGGTCAATATATGATTAGGCTGAGAATAGATATTTCAACATGGAAATAGCCCTTAGGTGAGCAGGCATTTATTAAATAGAGAAATTTAGTCAAAAATAGTCAAATGGATAAGTCCCAAGTGAAAATGACATAATTTATAAGTTTAAGATATATCTTTATTTGAACAGGTATGGAGGAATGGAGGAAACTGAAATACTTGCTGTGTATGTGAAAGAAGTTGATCAGAAACAGCTTTGTAGAATATTATCTCAACTATGTGTTATTCAGGGGGAAAAAGAACTACAGAAACAGAAAAAGGATTAGAGATTGTCAGGAGCTAGGCCAGGGAGGATTGAATAGGTGGAACATGGGGAAATTTTAGGGCAGTGGAAACTATTCTGTATGATACTGTAATGGTGGGTACACGATATTATGCATTTGTCAAAACTCATAGAATGTACATCACCATGAGTGAACCCTAATGTAAACTATGGACTTCAATGAATAATAAATCAGTATTGGCTCACCAGTTGTAACAAATATACCACACCAATGCAAGATGCTAATAATAGGGGAAAACTCAAGGCAGGTGTGGTAGTAAGAAGGCCAAGAAAGAGTATATGGGAACTCTGTCCTTTCTGCTCAATTTTTCTGAAAACTTAATACTCCTCCTAAAAAATAAAGTGTATTAATTAAAATATTTAACCAGCTGGGTGGTTGAAATGACTCTGATATTAAAAGAAAAAAACCTTAGCAATTATATTTTTTTAAATTTTATTATTAAACATTTATTAAGCCTAACAAGTACAGCACAGAGTGCTAGGATTTGAAGCCCTAATATTAAATAGATTGCCACCTTCAACAGTAACAACAACTACATTATTGCCCAGACAATCACCGGGACCTGAATATACTGGGACTTGAACTCACTATCCCATTGCATCACATAGCTTTAAAAGGAACAAATAAGAAGATTTACATTTTATATTGATTTGACAAATAAAGAAATAAGTTTATAAAACGTAAATAACTTATTAAAGACCACCCAACTAGGATGTAATAGAGTGTGACTTGTATTGTGGTAGCCAATAACTGCCATACTCAGAAATTGATACATCCCCCAGGAAATGGTTACAAAGCTATTATTGAAGAGTTTTTGACCTTTCTTCAAGTAAAGATATTAGAATAAATTATATTACAAATAAGAATCAGATATGCTGTTTGTTTTAGTTGGTTCAGCTGCTAACAGAACACCACAGACTGGGAGGCTTAAAGAATAAACATTCATTTCTTACCGTTTTGGAGGCTAGGAAGCCCAAGATCAAGGTGATGGTGGATCCAATGTCTGGAGAGGGCCTTCCTCCTGGCTTGCAAATGGCTGTGTATGCAACTGTTTTCCTCATATGGGAAGGAAAGATTTCATGGCATATGTTTCTTCTTATGAGGACAGTAATTCAACTAATGGGGTCTCTACCTTCATAACCTAATTATCTTTCAGAGGCCCCATTTCCAAACCTTATTACATGGGATTTAGGCTTCAACATAGGAATCTGGGGGTGAGGGGGACACAAATATTCAGTATGTAGCACTATTCTTCTTCAAAGACTGAATAACACTTTTTTACAAAAGAAATCTATCAGGTTATATAATTATATTTCTCTATTCAAATTAAAAAAATCCCATTATTGCAATTATTGTTGTTTCCAGGAAGATGAAAGTACATTAGCACATGGCAGAACCTTACAGCTATTAAGAATTAAAGTACAAAGAAAACAAGTTGGAAAATGAGGTGCGGCTCCAATAGGTATCTATATTTAACTTTATATGAATAGGAACATTTATATGCTGCTTCAGGCCATTAAGTCTTTTCTATTATCCTGGGAACATTATTGCTCAGATCACTCCTAAAATTTATGCAAAAGAGAAGAGTGAATGTGGCAAATCAGATCTTTCTAGACATAGGTTTCTTATAAGTACCCTTCAAAGTTTTCATTGGCTACCACAGTTATGAGACTACCTAGAACTGAGGTGGCCTTTCTGCTAAATTAGGACACACAACATCAGTCTCATAGCAACCAATATTTACCATGTACATTATGTACATTAACATATGTACATTAACAGCCAAGACTACAAAAAGTGAGAGAAGAAGTACAATCAAGCTAGGAGGTAGGCCAACAAGCACACACACACATGAAAATAATTAGCTTCCGTGATGGAGGCTAACATCATATGTCCTACTGGTAGATAAGAGAAGCCTTGGAGAAGAAAAGATGTTTCAAAGTTCATAAGAGATCTGAACCCACAACTGGTAACAGCATCTTAGAACCCCACAGATCCTGGATATTGGCTGCCCATAGTTTCTGTCCACCCCTGCAGCCCTCATCACCTATTCCCTCTAGAATAACCAAATTTCCTTTCCAAATTTCTGAAAACCCCAACTTCACCCATTGTTATGAGTTTTGTCTGGAACGTTTCTGCCTTTTCACACTCGAAGTAGATCCTACTTTGCAAGGCAGGTTCATAGATTTCCACTAGGCTAAATTACTATAGAGACTAACTCCATCCCCTGACCAGGAAGTGTACGGTCTTGACCATTTCATGGGTGGTGAACAGTTCCTCAGCAGTTCTTTGCTGTAGGGCAACCCATCCCAGGGCAGGTAATACTCAAAAGTCTGAAAATAGATAGATCTCCATACCCTGAGACCCTCTTTTCAAGGGCAAAAACTGCCATCTTTTATTTTCTTGCAGAAATTGTAAAATATTTCTTGTAACTCTAATCATGGACATAAATATTGGATGTCAAATAAGGAAAATTCAGCTGGAATCTTCATAAAAAGCCTTTGCCTTATTACGTTCCTAAGTAGTCCCACTATAAATAGGCTCTGTGGTCATATAAACCTGGGAATTCTGAATACTTTTCTTCATACTACAGAATTCTTTACACTACAGAATAAAAATGTAAAAACGCTAAAAACTTCTGCAGTTAAAAACTGTGTTTAACTTTTCTTAAACTCTCCCACTTTCCCCTTTGTAACACTAGTAGCATTCCTAGGAGCCTTCTTTGGAATCTTTCTTCGGAGTCAAATGTTGTTCATGAATAAAATATCTATTCAGGATGCTTGGTTGATGGATTTCTTTCTTATGACCAACTATTGTAAGATGATTAGTTTCTGCAAATTGCCCTTCATAACATAAAGTTCACACACATCTTCTCACTGCCTCCCATCTATTATCTAGAGCCCAAAACAGAAAATTCGATGTATTATGATGTAAATAGAAAGGTCAGTCATGTCTATCAAGACCAGAGCTTGTTAGGGAAGCAGAAACGTGCCCCCTTTCCAATGCTCTGAGTCATCTCCCCAAAGTTGATTATTTCTTAACTTTTGGAAAAAATAAGAGGGATGGGTAAAAAAGTCCTTGCCATCTTGTGACAACTTCCAGGTGTTGGAGAGAATAATTGATTGATGGGGACTGAAAGGAAGCCCTGTCCTAACCCAAAGCTGGACAGTGTTTTGCTTCTCCACAGGTAGACTGTCCTAGACTCTTTGGACCCCTTCTTGCCTTCTGTAGTTCACATCAACCCTGGACATGTGATATCCATTCTATAGGAGTCAAATCCTAATAACTCCAAGACTATAACTCATTTTTTTCCGCCTCCATGATCCTCCAATCTGCTCTTGACACTGTATTCAGAGGGGTCTTCCAAAATACTTCCCTCTGAGATCCCATTAAAAAGATGGCATAAATTCCCAATAATGAACTGGATAAGAACCATAAGCAGGTGAGCGTGTTTTTTTTTTTTTAAATGAACTTCTGAAGATCAGAAAAGATGACGTAGTGTCTGAAGAAGCAAAACAGAGGCAGCAACTATAAAATATCCACAAAGGTGTGTCCAAGAGGAGAGCAGAGGATGGCATGGTTACCAAGAATAAAGGTAGAGGAAGCTGATGTAGAAGGAATGCAAAATGAGCTGGTAGAAGAGGAAGAGGCCCACCCAGAACACAGGAGGGCTCAGGACTTAGAAATTCCAAGTATCACTAAAGGCAGAAATGAGAAAAGAGATCAAAAACAGGGGAGATACTTGAAAGTCTGTATGGGAGATTCAGTCTCTTCACCAAATTTTACCATCCCATGTGAAGACTACCAGGCATTTGAATGTCTACCTGTTAAGTAAACAGCAAATAAATAAACGTTTGCAAAATATACCTTTATAGACTGACTTTTGTCTCTCCCAAATTCACACGTTGCAGTTCCAACTCCTAGTATCTTAGAACAAATTGTATTTGGAGATAGAACTTTTAAAGAGGCAATTAAGATAAAATGAGGGTGGGGGGTGGGATTGTGGATCTAAAGAAGTACTAAAGAATGTACTTCTGACATAAAAGAACAGAGAAAGAAATGTGTCTACTGGGAAAGATGTGGGTTGTTAATAGGGGATCATGATTAGGAAAACATTGGATAATGACCAGCAATAAGGAGTGAATAGAAGTTTTGGTATATCTCCTTGTTGGAATATCATGGATATTTCAAGTATAGATGCCATTCAGATACAAGAAAATATTTGAGATATAATTTTAAATGGGAAAAGAAAAGATTATAAAATTTTAGTTTCAAAATATTATTTCATTGTTATGAGTGATTTTTCTATATCTCATTCATTCAACATATTTCCCATATTTCATTCATCAAACAGGTTTATTGAGTATCCACCATGTTTTGAGCAGGAGAAATGGATATGAAAATTTAAGAAGAAAATCACAACCCTGCCACACAGTTACGGTCCATCAAGAAAGAGACATTTGTAATTATAATAAAATGGGAGATTTATAATTGAGGACATTCACAGCATTAGGAAAACATAAAGCACAGGTAATAAAACTAATCTAATCTGAGAAACAATCCCTCAATAAATTACTTTTTAATTAATCAATAAATGTATGTTGACAGATAAAAATTGTATATGTGTTTGGTATGCAAAGTGTTGACACACACACACACACATACACACACATATATTTTGAATGGCTAAATCAAGATAATTAACATTCCAATACCTCATATTTTTCTGTGATGAGAACATTTAAAATCTACTCCCTTTCTATTTTTAAGTTTTTAAATCAGAGGGTTTATTGTTGTTGTTAAACAGTGACTCACAATTAAGAACTCAGCATTACCTTAATTACATAAAATATATGAGCTCAAGAAAAATACTCAAGGGAAACAACAAAATATTAAATGTGATTTTACTTAGATTGTAGTTTTTCTGAGAAACTTTGTATTCTTTATACCTTTAGAACTATTTTAAGTTTTCTGTAAGGAGGAGAAGAGACTAATAAAAGTGACAATATTGTTACTGGGAAAGCAGTAAGATATTGCTGCTATTTGAAAGCCTTTTCCCAGCTCTCTTGTGGAAGCAGAATTTAGTTGCTGATCTATCTAAAACATAGTTACAGACAATTACTGGACCACCTGTTCATGCAAAGCATTTTGAATTCTGTCACTGGAGATAGAAGACTAATGTCCATGAATGTTTCAGTTAGCAAACTTGGAGACTGTGCTTGTTTGCCTTGAGTTTTGCTAATAGTGCAAGGAGATTTCAGGTGAATATGCCAAATAGTTATCTATTATTTCTTCCATTTTCTTTAATTGAACTATATATCCTGTGTTATCCAACTGTCTTAAATTATGCTGTTATTTAAAAATATTATTTTAAACAGCAAGTAATTCTTGATTTTGTGCCTATGTTTCTTATATTGTGTTTCTAGATTCCAAAAACTTAAATCGGTTCTCCAATAACTCCTTTCAGGAAAGTATTCCTATATATAAGATGGGATCTGCCAGTGGTGATTTTTATGGACTTGGATATGTAGTTTACAGTACATATAAGTTCTCTGTTATGCTATTTCTCCAATCACATATCCATTATCATAATTTTGAGAAATCACCATCTTATATTTTATTAAAATATCACTTTTTTCCAAAGCTCATCTAAGGTGGAAAAATAAAATTAATGCTTTTTAAAATTGGCAATGTACTTAAGAACCTCATGTCATAATTACAAGATTCAGTTGAAGACTGAATTTTAATGTATGCATACAGAGGTTTAAAATCAACTGTCAGGGACATCAGCATGCTGGAGGGATCTCTGCATTCTCATGCAGAGATTTACCAATATAAAGGAAAGTCTGAGAAAAGGTCTCCCAAGGACTGGTGTGTGAATATACTGCTTTATCTAAATTATTTTTCTCATCTCAACTTGTTGAAAAAGGAAGTCTCAACTTGTTGAAAAAGGAAGTCCAAAGGGTATTGTTTTATTATGTAAGTAATATGGACTGGTAGTCAGTAGAACTGGATTTTAATTCTGACTTTACCAGTAACTGGCTGGGGGACTGTAGGTAAGCCACTTAACCTTTTTAAGTTCTCATTTAAGCCAGGGGATCTCTTCAAGTCATGTGAGAAAATTAAACTTTTGAATAAATTGTGGTGCTTCCCAATTTATCTTCACAGAAAACCATACAGCAAGGACTCAACAGTGACAAGGGAGCTACACTAAAATAGTATTACTCAATTGGAGAGAGATCTAAAGGGGTATAGAGAGAGCCAGAGCTCAGAAATTGTTATGTCTTCTTTGGAGGAATGTGCCAGACCTCCCCAACAAAACTCGTGTTCTGATCTCTTACTTAGTTCCTCTTCTATATCTATTTACCCCCGACTTCCCCCTTCCAAGTCTACTTTTCACCCCCCCCCCCCATTGACATCCAAGCTGCAGTCTGCCAATGGGGACAGAGAAGAAATCACAAAGGAACATAGCAAAAATATTGAGGTCCACTTCTACTTTAAAAAGCACACAACTACAAAAACTAAGGTTCTGTATGAAACACTGTCTTCCTCCAGAAGCTTAACTGTTTTCCTAATCATGATCTCCTATTAGCAACCCACATATTTCCTAGTAGACACATTTCTTTCTCTGATCTTTTATGTCACAAGTACATTCTTGAGTACAATAATCCAGCTATGAGCTAGTTATCAGGAAACTGTAGGTATTTCTCTCCCTACTTTCCTTTTGTTTCTCAGAGCATTTGTGGATTAGTATAGGCCCAAAATAGGAGCTGAAAATGTGTTGCATCATTTGTCACATTAGCTACTAAGGAAGCAGCAGAGGTAACCAGAAATGAGGAACAGGAAATTTTTGATAAACAACTCTGGTGGTTTTCTGAAAGCTGAATTGAATCACAGCCACTAGTGTTTGCAATTGCATTTTGAATTGCAGAATTAGAGGTAACTGCCTCCCACTTATATGATAGCATATAACTCAAAATTTGAGTGTGGTTTTATAGGCACAGCATTTCATTCTGTAGTAGTGTCAGAAAGCATTTATCTGTGAGGTTCACAGAAGCACAGTTGAATTTGGAAAAAAAAAAAGGAATGATAAAAAATAACAACCTAGGTATCCCTGATATGTATACTATCATGAATACTGGTAATATTTAGAGGTGAAATGAATAAGATTATTTCTGTACAGGGTCAATATTCATCAATGAAAAAATGCAACTGATTTTTAGCTCTGTTGTTTAGCAATTTAAGCTTTTTCCAACACAGGGTAGGAAGTTAGTGGATGCCTTTCTCATTAGGTTTGTATTGAGTAGACTAAAAAAAGATTGTTTAACTCATGCACCTCTCACTGGTCCTCTTTTGCTTTCATTTGAGAAGAGAAAAGTCCATAGTTAATTTTAGACTGTGAAAGGGAAAACAAAGAAGGAGCAGTGAGATTCCGTGAGAACCCAAAATCTTTGCTGTAACTCAGCAGTCCCTTCATCATTGGAGTAGCTCTTGTCATCATTTAAAAAAAAAATCTTAAAACTGTATTTCAAGAGACTTACTGGTCTTGTCTCTGCAGACTCATAGTTCCTTTATGTGCTCTTGGGAGGAAAAAGCAGATAGAAACTTAAAATCTGAATGTTCCTTCAGCTTCTCCTGGTTCTTCATTCTTCTCCAGGTAGAAAGAAGGTGGGACTCTTTGTGTCTAGCAAAGAGACATTTTCAGATACCAAGATGTTGCCTGAGACAATTGGTCATAGAAGTTAGGAAGGAGAAGGACAAGAAAGATAGAGAGCCACCCCTTGTAACTGGTAGTTACTTTCCTGGCAGGACTGCATTGGTAGACCTCCCTTCCTTCCCACTTCCTCTTTTCCCCCCTTCCCAATCTTCGTCGCTTTTCTGACCTACAATTTGGCCTTCCATAGTAAGAGGTCAGTTTGTTTTCCACACTTGGGAAATCTCATTCAAGAATTTTTGTCAATGGACAAGTCATAAGAATCCCTTCCATTTTAGGGCTCATTGACGTCACCAAGGAGGCGATAAATATCTGTTGATATAATTGGATGTGAGATTCAGTGTTGAAATAGCAAAACTCTGTCCCTCGCTCCTTGGCAGGGCCCTATGATTTATGCAGGAGCAGAGGCAGCACGCAATCGAGCTGTCAAGAGAGCGTCAGCTTATTAGGCAAATGCTGCGTGCTTTCTGAAGAGGGTCGACGCTATAAAATCCCACTCCAAGCTCTTGTGTGGAGAAAACTCGGAGCCCAAGTACATTGAAGAGAAAGAGAAGAGACAAAGAAAAAAAGAGAGTAGCAATAGAAAGGAGAAGAGAAGAAAACCGCCAGAAAAAGCCCTGAGACGTCCCTCTGCAGAGAGGCAGCAGCGCCGGGCTCACCTGCGAACTCCAGGAAAGGTAGGGAGCGCCTAGACGGAAACGCGCCACCAACTTTGTGCTGCCTGAGCCTCCGAGGTGTGCACTGCAGAGCCAGCTGTCCCTGTGCGGGCGAATGTGTGTGTGTGTGTGTCTGTTGCTGTTGTTGTTGTTGTTGCTGCTGCTGCTGACTGTGCCTTAAGATTCCGATAGTAGCTGTGTATAGCAAAAACAAACTTAGACGGCTGCTCATCTTTACCCTAACTGCCGGTTACTGCTCATCGCTGTCTGTATAAAGGACCCCACTGGCCCCACATGGATCCCGACCCCCAAGAAAAGGAAGCAAGGGCAAGTGTGGAGAGATAGGAAGAGGGAGTAGCTCTTAATTTGGAAGAAAATGCTGAAATATACGGAAGGGGGTGATCAGAGCGAGCGAAAATTTAAATTATGGCTCTTTACCTAGGCTCAGGGGAATCAGGTTTGGGGGATCGTTAGGAAGAAGACTCAGGGATTGTTTCTTCAGGGTCTCAAGAGCAAGGTCACTCCTTCCTGGAGAGGGGATGAGTTTGGGCGCGGAGCCTCTCAAACGTCCCATTTCGTGCTCCCTACTGCAGAAGTCCGAGATCAGTGTCTTAAGCACCACGGACAGCGCACGACGACCCCTACCCCCACCCCAAGGGCATAGCCTCTCACTTCTCCGCGTGTTGGGTAGGAAGACATCCCCCCAGGTGCACCCCTCAGTTGAGCTAAATTCTGACCAACACTTTATCTCTCTTTCTTTCTCTCCTTCCGCCCACTTCTCTTCTGCAGCGAGCGTTCCTAACATGCGGCTGCCGCTGCTCTTGTCTGCGGGCGTCCTGCTGGTGGCTCTCCTGCCCTGCCCACCATGCAGGGCCCTCCTAAATCGTGGGCAGGTCCCGGGAGCCCGGCAAGCAGCGCAATCCCCCGAGTCCCTGGATTTCTTCCAGCCCCCGCCGCAGCCCGAGCAGCCCCAGCAGCCGCAGCCTCGGCCCGTTCTGCTCCGCATGGGAGAGGAATACTTCCTTCGCCTGGGAAACCTCAACAAGAGCCCGGCTGCTCGGCTCTTGCCCGACTCCTTGTCCATTGCCGGTGACAGTGGCAGCCGCCCCTTGCGGGACCAGGCAGCCACCAACTTTTTCCGCGTGTTGCTGCAGCAGCTGCAGCTGCCTCGGCGCTCCCTTGACAGCCCCGCGGGTCCGGCGGAGCGCAGCTGGGAGAACGCCCTCACCCGCCACCAGGAGGCACTGGAGAGGGAGCGGCGGTCCGAGGAGCCTCCTATCTCCCTGGATCTCACCTTTCACCTTCTCCGGGAAGTCTTGGAAATGGCCAGGGCCGAGCAGTTAGCGCAGCAAGCTCACAGCAACAGGAAACTGATGGAGATTATTGGGAAATGAAATGATACGTCTGACCAAAAATATTCTGCATTTAGCACAAAAAAAAGTTAAAAAAAATTAAGAATACAGTATTCTGTACCACAGTGCTGCTCTGATATCATTTGTTTATTTTTATATAGCTTGCAACATAGATGTACAGGGACAGAGCCTATATCCCTTAATTAGCATGCACAAAGTGTATTCACGTGCAGTAACAACGCAATGTTATTTGTATTGTCCACTTTTAGTTTCCGTGTCCAGTGTCTTTATAGTGGTGTTTCAAAGAAAATGTAGACCCAGGTGGAAGCACTTTGAAAAAGCAGATGGAAGCCACCCGTTGCTTTTGTAGTGGTCAGAGCCAAAGAGAATTTTGTTCTCTTGAGTGGGTGGGTAAGGTGAAATGTGAATCAATATTTTCTTGTAAACATCTCAGTAATAAAACATCCTTCCAATCCTTGGTCAATTTGATTGTGTAAGAGAATGTTTAATATTTATATTTTTAATAAAAGCTGCAATGGTTATTGTGCTTTTATTTTTCCTCTTCTAGCTTCCTCCAAACTGTCTTCTGCACAATAAACAAACAAACAGTCAAAAATCCCCCAAACTTCCTGCATTTTTTTTTCTACCAAAGATAAAAACATCTGTCAGTGGCTGCACAGGTCCTACAATCACCTTATCTCTGTACCTCAGACTACTCATCTGAGATTGAACTAGATAATTTGGAAAACTGCTTTTAGCTCTAAAACTTGGTTATTTTACAAATGGAAGGTCACTCACAGTGGAAAAAGCATTCCTTGATGAATAATGAGATATGAAGTAATTGGGGAGAGTAGGAAAGGATAAAGAGAAGAGCTGAGGTGAACCATGCAGTCAAAATGCTGCGTTGTTTTTCCATGACAAAGGCTTACTTTATCAATTGATACCATAAAGTGGTTTTTTTTTTTCTGAGCTATTTTCCAATGACTACTTCTAATAGGAGAAACCTGATAGCATCTTCATTTAAATCAACTATGTTCAGTTGTTGTAAAATGACACTTGGGGAAATATTTTCTTACAAAGAACATTTGGCTTTAATTATGCACAAATACCCTCCAAGCTAATCACTTTGATTCTTAGGAATATGAACTATCTTTACTCACTTCTAAAACTCAACAGCATAGCTAACTAGTTTTAAAATGCATTTGCCTTCAGTAGTTTAGTTATAACTTAACATTTTCAATCAAATTATTAAATACTTCAAAATATGTATGAAAATGCTTTCCCCCCCTAAGGCCCTTGAAATGCACTTGACTAATAGATTAATAAGATGATATGAAATTCTGAATAAATTATTATAAGACTAACTTTTTAAAAACAGTATTTATTTAACAGTTCATACAGAGTAAAGTTACACTTATGTTCTGAAAGAAGTATTATGGTGGGACAAATAAAGCATGATATATATGTATATACACAGACACACACATATATATTTATACGTGCAGTTGTTCTACAATTTACCAGATTGGTGCCACAGAGATGTATGAGAAACTGGTTTCTGCTAGAAAGTCTTTTTCAATTAAAGTACCTAGTATATAAGTGTCTAAAACTAAGATTAGAAAAATGTCACAAGAGATGTCCTTGGCCTTCAGCCTTCTGGACTATAAAAGTGCCATCAAATTCAAAGAACATTTCTGGATACACATCCAGTGACATTTATTATGGAAAAGAGGAAAACTTTGCACAACATTTTCATAGCTTTGGTCAATGATTTACCATTTGTCTGTATATTGATAAATCAGGCATTTCTGAATTGACACTGAATTTCACTGACCACCTGCATTGTTAAAGAGAAAAGGAAATGAGAGCCACTATGATCTAATAACAAAAAGCTGGTGCCTATTAGAGACGAGAGTGTAGTGCCCACATTTTTCAACACTTGCTACTTGTAACTGACGCACCCACATGTACCACACCTACACACCCCTCATGTTTCCCACACAATAAAAGACTTGCATAAGATCAAGTTTCTTTTCTCCAGTGCTTTCTGCATCTATTTTCTGAAAGTATTTTTTTTCTTCAATGTGTTAGATAAGTCATCTGGAATTAAAGTGGTTTTTTTTTCTTTCTTTTAAAAATCCTGTCGAGAGGTCCCATTCATCATCTGTATCGTGTTAATTTCATCTAGGTTCCCTGCTGCCTGTGTGCATCTCATTCAGGCAGACAGAAGTGCAGCAGTTGGAATGAACATCATTCATTCAGGGAGTTCAACCAGGAGAAGGAGAAGACGTGGCGAGCTGGCTCAGAATCAGCTCCACTCCCACTCTCTGAAGCTGCAGCCTGTCCTTGGAGGGGAGAGGCCTCAAATCCAATCTGCAACAGAAGAATATGTGAATCAGAGGAAGAAGAGGCTAGTCTTTGGGGGATTGGTCCAGTCATTTTTCTACTAAGGAGAAACAATAATAATAATTATATTCCATATTTAATACATGCAGTTGTTCTACAATTTACCAGATTGGTGCCACATGGAATAATATGGAATAATTATATTCCATATAATTATTATTTAGAACAGAAAGCAAGCTCAGGTTATCTTGGATATGATCAAGAGTCATGAAAGAATTCACACTCATGATCCAAAAAGGGACAACAGTAACGCATGCAGTGAAAGGGAGTTCTTGGGGAAAAGAGTCCAGACTGTTCTTTTTTGGGAAAAAAAAAAGTTAACTTGTACATAATTTACTGAAATGAAAGTATCATTGAAACTTATAGGTGTCTGGGTTTAGAAAAATGTGTAGAATTAAAAAAATTAATACCTGCTGGGGTTGTAGCTCAGTGATAGAGTGCTTCGTAGCATGTGTGAAGCCCTGGGTTGGTCTGAAAAAACATGACTGGCCCAGCAACACACACACAAATCCTTATTTAAATGACATTGCTATACCCAATGTGATGGCAGGACACACTATAATCTTTCCACTGCTGAAGTAGAAAGTTTCTATCAGATGTACACTAATGTGCTGCTTAATGAAATGGGTACGTTTGGAGGAATGTATGGTTAGACATTTTCATCGTTGTATGCACATCGTAGCAGGTACTAACACCAACTAAGATGGCTACAACATCACCAGGCAATATAATCTCATGGAACCACCATCATACATGTGGTTCATTATTGGTCAAAATGTTGTATAGATTTTGCAAAACTGCAGGCTTAATTTTAAGCAAATCATGAAGGGACTTTTTTCCTCTGGGCAATAAAATCTAAAAACATCATTTCTATAAAATCCAATCCAATATCAATACTTCTAAATACATAATTACATTTTATAAGTGCCTAACAGCTTATGATTTTGAATTAGCTGATCAACTTAAGTGAACTTCATTTATGTTGTTTGGAGTTTTAAAAGTAATAATGGAATGAGGAACAATTACAAAAAAAAAGTCTTGCTGAAATGCAATTTGATTTTATTAACTCAAATGTTTTACATTTAAAGGTACATGACAAACATGATTATTCCTAGGAGAACCATTGGAAATAAACAAATATATTCTGATGCTTCACTGGTAAAACTACCCCACAGACTAGAATGCTGCTAATTTCAAAGCAATGAAGTAGCACATGCACTTAGCTTAGAAGCTCTTGGTGACTTTGTGAAGCTGTTATATGAATGGAAAGTGCCTGGAACTGGCAAAGCAGAACTTTCTGGGTAAGCATTTTGCTTTATTGCCACTCGAGGTAGTTCTGAGAGAAAAGTGAATGCTTGGCCTATACCTTATCAGATTTTACCCTGAATATGTTTTGGGAATGATGTTTCAAAAATCAATGAAATTGTCCCAAGTCCTGTGGCTTTGGGATTATCCTTTGTGCTGTCAGATGGCTTCCTGATAGGAAGTTAAGAAGGTCCATGAAGTCACATCAACCACTGTAGAATATAACTGAAACAGACAGTTTTCTATAAGGAAACAGCTAGTTGAAACCTCAAGTGAGACTGGGACTTTGAAAAAAGAATGGCAGCAGATTCTGTTGAAAGTGGATTAAGAGATCCCAATGCCCTTGAAACAGAGGCATATCAAATCTGTCCTCAATTTGTACATGTCAAACTCTTTCCCACCATGATCACTTCACCATCACTAATCCTATAAAAAACAAAACAACACAAATAATCAAAACAAGAGGATCCAAGATGGTGGGCTAGAGGGAAAAAGCTGCATTCTGTGTCGCTCTGTGACCAGGGATTTAAGTAGTGGGAATACTGTTTCTCTGTGAGTTATTAGAGGCCCCCCAACAGCTTCTCCCTCACAGGAAATCAAGGCTGCTGTCCCATGCAGATTCCCAAGCCTCAGCATCAGCACACACCTGATCACTCACCCACACGGACCTCCAGGTGCCCGAGCAGGACCACTGGCATCAGCACCCCACACAGGATGCTGCCCATGAGCAGAACCTCCGGCAGCCACTCCCATGTGGACTCCCATCTACCTACATGGGGCTCTCCTGGTCACCTCCAACACTGCAACCACTGCCATAGTCCCCTTCACACAGTAGCCTGCACCGGGGGACACTGCACAGGGTCTGGAGACAGCCACCAGCTGCAAAACTGCATGCCACAGGGCTGCATCTCTGAATACGCCCCAATGCCACCACCCAGCCCTACCTGACCCAACACCCCATCACTGAAAGCAGCTTCCTCCATCTTGGGACACCTTTGTCGCCATCTTTATTTAGGGAAACTCCCAACTTGGGACACTGGCTGGTGCTTAGAAGCAATATCAAGGGACCTAGAGTCCCCAACTTTTCGCCTCCCTGGCAGCTACTAACCCAAAACTTGGTCCTGAACTGCCCAATACAAAACAGCTCTCAATGCGCAGCTCTCAGAGTACAGTCCACAAGACCTCCAGAGAGAGAGGTTTCTGACTGAGAAGTAGGAAGGAAGGGGATGAGTGAGATACAGCTTACAGATTAAATTAGAGACCAGTAAGACCAGGCACCCATATCACACAAGCAGGCCCCAAAGGAGATCTTTGGGGTGCAGTCTCCATTGGGGACCAGCAAGTGCTATACCCCACCTCCAGGAGTCCTGCCTCCAAGACCAGAACCCTTGCACCCTAATAACCTTCATCATCCTGAGGGTGGAGATACCAGCAAACAACTGACAACCCCACCTATTGGATGAGAAGGGAAGCAGGAAAGATACTGATCTCCAATAAAAACAATCCTTGTATCTTCCTTTAAGATTTTTTTTTTTTTGGTCTTTTCTCTCCCTCTCTTCTCCTGCCTTCACATACACAACATTTGTGAAACCAAGTACTTTTCATGAATTAGGCTATTAAGGACTGGGATGTCTGAATAGTATATCACAACTGTGTTATATATTCTTTTACCTCCTATTTTTATATTTTTATTTTTCTTAATATTTATGTTTAGTTTTTGATATTTTTTAAACTTTTTTTTTTAGTTGTAGGTGGACACAATATCTTTATTTTATTTTTATGTGGTACTGAAGATTGAACCCAGTGCCTCACACATACAAGGCAAGTGCTCTACATTTGAGCCACAACCCCAGCCCTTGTTTGTTTTTTTGTACTCTTTCTATTGTCTTTCCACTTACTTGTCTCTCTGAAATCACTTTCTTTCTCTTCTCCTGCTATTAATCAACTTTAGATTCTTTCATACTTCCTAAGGTCTAATAACTCTATATAGTCACTTCCTAACCCCTCAACATCCCATCCTACACCTTACTCCCTGTTCTTTGTCCACCATAAGATATTGTAGACCCCTTTGAAAACCTACTGTTTATATTGTAGATAATAATTGAATTCACCATTTCTGTATATTGTGACAAAACTATAAATGTCTTCTTAATCGCAGCTATTTGGTTTAAGGCTGTATATTGTCTGTATTGGGATCTGTTAATATTGTTCTACCCCTTAAAGGAGAGGTATTGGAACCCTGCAGGGACCCTTTAGCCTGTAGAGAAAAAACCGTAACACCTCGGATCTGCAGTGCTAGAAGGGAAGATACACTGACAACAACAACAAAAAAAACAAAACAAAAAAAACAAGGGAAGAAAGTGCCCCAAACAAATCAAGATACTACATTATTAGAAACCATGGCCAAAATAACAGAAGAAGTTACAGAGAAGGAGTTCAGGATGTACATAATTAAAATGTTCTGTGAATTAAAGATGGTATAAGAGAGCAAACACAGTCAGCAAAAGATCATTCGATGAAGAGCTACATAAGCAAATACAGGAAGCAAAAGATTACTTCAGTAAGGAGATAGAGGTTCTGAAAAAACAAACAAATAAACAAACAGAAATCCTTGAGATGAAAGAAATAATAAACCAAATTAAAAACTCAATAGAAAGCAACACCAACAAATTAGATTGCTTGGAAGACAGGACCTTGGACAATGAAGACAAAATATATAATCTTGAAAAGAATGTTCACCACACAGTGAAGATGGTAAGAAACCATGAGCAGAACATTCAAGAATGATGAGATAACATAAAAAGACCAAGTTTAGGAATTATTGGTATAGAGGAAGGCATAGAGTTACAAACCAAAGGATGAACAATCTATTCAATGAAATAATATCAGAAAATTTTCCAAACATGAAGAATGAATTGAAAAATCAAATATAAGAGGCTTATAGGACATTAAATATACATAATCACAACAGATCCACACCAAAGCACATTATAATTAATATGCCTAATATACAGAATAAGGATAGAATTTTAAAAGCCATAAGAGAAAGGAATCAGATTACATGTAGGGGGAAACCAATTAGGATATCTGCAGATTTTTTCAACCCAGACCCTGAAAGCTAGAAGATCCTGGAACAACATATACCAAGCTCTGGAAGAAAATGGATGCCAACCAAGAATCTTATATCCAGCAATTTAAGCTTCAGATTTGAGATGAAATAAAAACTTTCCATGATAAACAAAAGTTAAAAGAATTTACAACTAGAAAGCCTACACTACAGAACATCCTCAGCAAAATATTGCATGAGGAGGAAATGAAAAAAATTGTTGATGAGAATCAGTGAAGGGAGGTATTACCCTAAAGGAAAAAATCAATCAAAGAAGAAACCAAGTCAAGTTAAATACCAAAAATAAACAAAAATGTCTGGGAATACAAATCATGTCTCAATAATAATCCTAAATGTGAATGGCCTAAACTCACCAATCAAAAGACATAGACTGGCAAATTGGATTTAAAAAAAAGACCCAACAATATGCTGCCTCCAAGAGAATCATCTCATAGGAAAAGACATCCACAGACTGAAGGTGAAAGGTTGGGAAAAAACATACCATTCCCAGGGACTGTGAAAGCAAGCAGGAGTTTCCATCCTCATATCAAATAAA